CGCCGAACGTGCTCGTGCAACGCCTCGTTCTGGACCGAATTGTCTCTGGGACGGCCAGGGCTATTCCTTTGGATTTCGACTTGCCGTCGCCTCCGCGCGCCCCCGCCCGCGCCTGCCGCTCGCGCGGCGCCTCGTTCCAGAACGAGCCAGTTCAGGAAAAACCAGGGTTCATTTTGTTTTGACTTCGCCTTGGCATCGCCCCCATGTGCCCCGACCCGTGCTTGCCAGAAAATGCCTCTTCTTCTCCATCTGTCCTGTCACTCGAAGCCCCCCGAGAGCGCCTCCGTTCCTCCGAGGGTGCCCCCAGGACCTCCGCGGCCTATGATATGTCCTAGCCGTTTCCCGTAAACTCACCCCGGGCTCACCCCGGAAAGAATGGGCGAGGGTCTGCCTGAAACCGTGTGCCTCCCCGCCCGTCTCCCCTTGGTGCCCGCCCCTCTGACTGCACTGGGCTCGCCTTGAGGCCTTGCCCTCAGACGCAGAATGGCTCTAGGTTTGCCTATGTTGCCCCGAGGACCAGCCCCGATGACCAGCCTCGAGGCTCACCCCTACAACTTTGGGCTTGCGCAGCCTTGCTCCTAGGCTTTCTTCAGGCCCAACACATCGGCTTACGGTCGCCTCATCCTGAGCGCTTCCCTCAAGCTGACCTTCGGCGTACCCCATAAGCCTAGAGTTCGGCCTTGCCTGCGGCCGACCTTATTTCCAGCGCTGTCCGGTGCGACTCCCCGAAAGGCTTCCCCTTTGGGCCCGCTCCTCTGCCTACCTTGGGCTTCCATCTAAACTTGTCCCGTGGGCTTGCTTGGGCTTGCCCGTAGGTTGCACCCGGAGCGTTCTCTTAGCGAGATCTACGGTGATCTTACACTTACAGTTTACCCCTGACCTGCCATAGCCCTACTCCAAGGCTATCCGCTAGGCTCCCTAGGCCTCCTGCTAGACCTTTCCCGCAGGCCTACCCTTCGAGCCTCTCGAAGCGCTTGCCCTCGGCGTTCGGCCAGGCATTCCCTGGGCCCCTGGGCTAGGGCCTCGCCCTGGAGCTTCCGATCGTCGCGAAGACATGCTCCACCCAGACCTGCCTTAGACCTACCCGTGCCCTTCCCTTCGGATCCTTTGGCCTCCCGCGAGGGCCTGCCCGTGGTCATGCCCCGAAGGCCTCCCCGTGCGCTGATCCTGGCTTTCGCCCAATCCTACTTTAGCTTATGCCCACAGCAAAGCTTCTGACTTTTCCAAAACATGTTCCGGGAGACCCCAGAACCCGCGGGACTACCGCCAGGCCCATTCAGACACGCGAGGGGGGAAGGGGGCTTCGCACAGAGACTTGGCGACTGTCGGGATGGCGTTGGCATCTCAGGCCGCATCTCCACATTGGAAAGAGCGTGTTCTACCGCTGCTGGCGGACAACCGGGGGTGGTCACTGGGGGTTCCTAGCCCGTCCCCCCCCCCGCTCGAAAACCCGAGGGGGGGGCCACTATCGGTTCGAACCCCTCCCCCCCCAGTCCATCATGAAATGAAAATGGGGCGGGGTCACTACCGGTTCGAACCCCTCCCCCCCGAAAACTGGGGGGGTCACTACTGGTTCCCCCCCCCCCGCCGGCAAACAATTCCCGCTCCTCCAGACAGTTGGACAGTGGTGGGGACAGTGGGACAGTGGTGGGGACGGTGGTGGTGGGGACAGGGGTGAGGGGACAGCGGGACAGTGGTGGGGGCAGTGGGACAGTGGTGAGGACGGTAGTGGTGGGCACAGTGGTGAAGGCGGTGTTGAGGACGGTGGCGGGACAGTAGTATAGTGGGGAGAATGGTGGGGACAATGGGGACAGTGGGACAGTGGTGGGGACAGTGGGACAGCACAGTGGGACAGCGGCGGGGACTGGGGACAGTGGGACAGTGGTGGGAACAGTGGGGACAGTGGGACAGTGGGACAGTGGTGGGGACAGTGGTGGTGGGGACAGTGGTGAGGGCGGTGGCGAGGACGGTGGTGGGACAATGGGACAGAGGTATAGTGGGGACAGTGGTGGGGACAGCGGGGACAGTGGTGGGAACATTGGGACAGCTCAGTGGGACAGCGGCGGGGACAGTGGGACAGTGGGGACAGTGGGGACAGTGGGACATTGGTGGGGGCTTTGGGGAAAGTAGGGAGAGTGGGACCGTGGTGGGAACAGTGGTGGGGACAGTGGGGACAGTGTGACAGTGGTCGGGGCACTGGTGGGGACAGTTGGGACGGTGGTGGGAACAGCGGGGACAGTTCTGGTGAGGACAGTGGTGCTGGGGACAGCAGTGGGGGATGTGGTGCGGACGGTGGTGGGGACCCGCCGGCGGTGAATGGAGGGGGGTTCGAACCGGTAGTGATTCCCTTCGGTTTTCGAGGGGGGGACTCGAACCGGCAGTAACCCCCCTGGTTTTCTGGATGGGGGGGGGATTCGAACCGGTAGTGACCTCCTCGGCTTTCGAGTGGGGGGGGGGGCGGTCGAACCGGTAGTGACCCCCCCCGGTTTTTTGGAGAGGGGGGGTGGTCGAGCTGGTAGTGACCCTCCCCGGCGGTTTTGTGTTGGGGGGGGTTTAGGGGGGGGGGTTGCCGGGGGAAGGGGGGGGGGAGGGGAGGGGTTCCAGGGGGGATTTTCGGAAGGGGGGGAGATCCCCGGGTTCGGAGGAAGAGAGGGGGGAATTTTCCACAGTAAGGCGGCGGTGGATCACGCTCTTTCCCACATTGACATGTGTTTCTCGTCAGTGGGCCATGATTGACTTGGCGCGTGAAGCGCGCTCATAACATTTGTATACGTGTGTATATGTATGTGTATGTGTATGTGTAAGTGTATATGTATATGTGTATGTATATGTGTATGTATATGTATATGTATATGTATATGTATACGTATACGTATATGTTTATGCACATGCATATGCATATGCATAGGTATTTGTGTATATGTATATGTATATGTATATGTATAGGTATATGTGTATGGACATGTTTTTTTTGTAGTTGTATTTGTATGTGTATGTGTGTTTGTATTTGTATATGCATCTCTAGATGTAGATGTACATGCAGATGCATCCGAACATCTATATATATGTATATATATATACACATATAGGTATACTCGCCCCCTGTCATCGTACATGTCGCCTCTTTTCTTATCCTCTTACTTCTCATCCTCCTCATCCTTCCTCTCTCCTCGTCCTCCTCCTCCTCTTTCTCCGTCTCCTTCCTCATCCTCCGTCCTTCTCCTCCCCTCCTTCCCCTCTTCCCCTCCTCATCTTCTCCTCTTGTCCTCCTCCCTCTTATGAGGGCGACTGCTTCTCCTCCGTCTTCTTCCTTTCTCTCTATCCATATCTCTCTCTCACTCTCTCTCTCACTCTCTCTTTCTCTCACTCTCTCTCTTTCTCTCTATGAGAAAGTTTTCTAGCTTTTCCAGCTTTTCCTAAAGACTGACCGTTGGGAAGCGCTGTGTGTTTCCAGCTTTTCCATCTCTTCCAGTTGTTCCCAGTGGCTGACTGTTGAAACACGGTGTGTGTGTGTGTGTTTACAGCTTTTCTAGCTTTTCTTTTCCAGAGTTCCCAGAGACTCACCGTTCAATACCGTTGTGTTTTCGAGCTTTTCCAGCTTTTCCAGCTTTTCCAGCTTCTCCAGCTTCTCCCTGAGACTGACAGTTGAACAACGATGTGTTTTCCAGCTTTTCCTGCTTCTCCAGCTTTTTCCAAAGACTACCCTTTGAGAACCGTTGTGTTTTCAAGTTATTCCAGCTTTTCCATTTTCCCAGGGACTACCATTTGAAAAACGCTGTGATTTTAGTTTTTCTAGCTTTTTGATTGTTCCAGCTGTTTCTAGCTTTTTGATTGTTCCAGCTTAGATCACCGCTGTGTTTTCCAGCTTTTCTAGCTTTCTCTAGCTTTGCCAGCTTTCCAGTTTTTCCAGATTTTCCCAGAGACTGACCGTTGAAAACGATGTGTGTTCCAGGCTTTCCAGCTTCTCCATTTTTTCCAGAGATTACCCTTTGATCACCGCTGTGTTTTCAAGCTTTTCCAGCTTTGCCAGCTTTGTCAGCTTTTCCATGTTTTTTTAGCTTTTCCCAGAGACTGACTGTTGAAAAACGATGTGTGTTTCCAGCTTTTCCAGCTTCTCCAGCTTTTTCCAGAGAGTTCTCTTTGAACACTGGTGTGTGTTTCAAGCTTGTCCATCTTTTCCGAGAGACTGATCGTTGAAAAACGTTTTGTTTTGCAGATCTCTCAGCTTTTCCAGATTCATCCAGAAGCTACGCAGCAGGGAAGTGTCTGGGAAAAGCTGGAAAAGCTGGAAAACACAATGATTTGAACGGTAAGGGCATAATCACGACGTCGGGGATCTGGGGAACAAAAGGCACGAGGAGCGAGGAGGTGGGGAAGCGATGGGAATGAGAAGGTGAGAAGAGGGCTGAAGAGGGAATGGGGGGAGGGGGGAAGTGGGATGAGGGCGAGGACTGGTGAGACAGAGAGGTCCTGTGGTCCCGTTATCCACCCACACCCGTCCTGCCAGGATCGGCGCAGCGTAGGCGCGTTCCTGGCCAAGACGGGGGGGCGTATCCACTGATCCTGGACCAGGCCAGCACAGGTGCATGCGGAGTGGGGAGGTGGAGGTGGAAGGCGAGGAGTAGGAGAAGGAGGAGGAGGAGGAGGAGGAGGAGGAGGAGGAGGAGGAGGAGGAAGAGGAGGAGGGAGGGAGGGAGGGAGGAGGGAGGAGGAAGAGGAGGAGGAGGGAGGAGGGAGGAGGAGGAGGGAGGGATGGATGGAGGGAGGGGGGAGGGAGGGCGGGAGGGAAGGAAGTAAGGAAGGAAGGAAGGAAGGAAGGAAGGGAGGAGGAGGAGGAGGTCGAGGAGGTCGAGGAGCCCTCCGCTGCGCAGCTCTCTCTCTCGGCCCTGGGTGGGGCCCCCCGCGGCGCTCGGCGAGCGCTGCAGCCCCCCCGCGCATGCTGCGCCGGGCCGCCGCATGGCGCGCGGCGGGGCCCCGTGGCTGGCGGCGGCGGGCGCGGGCCGGCCAGCGGCGCCGACCGCGGCCCAGCCAGGCGCCGCGATGCGGCTCACGGCGGCCGCGGCCCTCCTCGGCACTGCCGCGGCGACCGCGGGCCGGCGGGGGGGTACCATCTACGCCGTCGGCGGGAACAACCTGTGGGGGCAGCTGGGGGGCGCCATCGTTCGGTTACCCAGAGTGGAGTGCTCCCTGGTGCGGGCCCACAGCGTTTCCTCCAGCATTGGCTTGCGCACTCGGATTCGGCCCCTCCGCGACCCTCCAACATCGCGCATCAGAGGTCACTCTTGCCTGGGGCCATTCATTGTGCATCCGGCGCCAGCAGGACGGCTGCACCGGTCCTTGCCAGGCCGATCCTGGGCCCAAGGGTCGGTGCATTCTGCCGTCCTGGCCAAGCCGGGGTCCAGGGTGGGCCTGGTCAGGATCGGTGCAGGCGTCTCGCTGGCGCCCGCTTAAAGGCAGGGGCTGGGCCAAGAGGCTCCTCCCACTTTCGTGCCGGTCTTCCTCGACGCCGAGGCAGTCGACGCCTCGGAGACCCACTGGGGCTGCCTGAGAGCTGGCTCGGCTCTGATGATCGGCGGCAACAGCTACGGCCAGCTCGGGGACGGCTCGAACCAGAACAGGAACAGCCTGGTGGAGGTGGTCGGCTTGACCGACAGTGTGCAGGCCATCAGCGCTGGCTACGAGTATTCTCTATTCCTTCTGCAGGACGGCGGCGTCATGGCCGCTGGCAAGAACAATTTCGCGCAGCTGGGCGACGGCACGACGCAGCAGAGGAGTTCGCCCGTGCCCGTTGCGATTGAGGGCAACGTAACGGCGATTTCTGCTGGGAAGACGCACTCCGTCTTCCTCAAGGCTGACGGCACAGTGTGGTCTGGTGGGCTGGGTTGGTATGGGCAGCTGGGCCACGGCGAGGCAACGAAAAGTAGCATGACGCCGATGCAGATGGCATCGATCACTGGCGTGCAGGCAATATCGGCGGGCAACATGCACACCCTCCTGCTTCGCGAAAACGGCGAAGTGTGGGTCACGGGGGATGGCTCGGTTGGGCAGCTCGGGCTCGGTGACGGCGTCAGCTCGACAATGACGCCCGTGGCCAATCCACACCTGCCGAGCAGCGTGCAGGCAGTCGTCGCCGCCGAGTTCTCCTCCTTCTTCCTAGCAGGCGACGGCGGGGTCTGGGCCTCGGGCTGGAACGAGAACGGCATGCTTGGGGACGGCTCCACCGAGAATAGGCACCTCCCCGTGCATGTCCTCGGCGACGTGCAGGGCGTCTCGTCGCTGGCGCAGCACACGCTCTTCCTGAGGTCCGACGGCAGCGTCTACGCGACCGGGGAGAACGAGTACGGTGAGCTGGGCACGCAGATCTACGGCAGCGCTGTGCAGCCGGAGCTGGCGGCGATCAGGAACGTGACCTCCGTGGCAGCGGGCCACCACTTCAGCCTGTTCCTGACGGGCGGCGGCCTGGAGCTCGAGGAGAGCGTCGGCAGGCCCTGCCTGGCCGGCACCCCTGTCAACCAGACCGGGAGCACGCTCGAGACGGGCATGCAGCACGAGGACCGGGTTCACAGCACAAGCGGGCATTTTTTCGGCATAGTTCTTTTCCATCCCCTCCAGGTCGTCTTCCTCCCTCCACAGTCAACCCGCATAGTAAGGATGAACGACTTTCCAAGGTTACCCTTGCATCCTTCCCCTTTGGCCCATCCTTGGCCGCTTTCGCTGGCCGCGCCCCGCTCGCGGATCGTCGACATGGCCTTTCAAGGCCCTTGCATCCTTATCGTAACTTCCGGGGACCCCGCGTTGAAAGAGTCAGTGTGTCATATGTTTGCGTCCTTCGTCGCGGGCTGCTTATCTCCCCCAGGGGACTGGCTCCCCAGAGGCCCTGGACGTGAACAGAGCTGGCCGTCGTGATTGTCTCGCGACGCCCGAGAGGTCTCGGCTGGATCGCCTACCCTCATGAGTTGTAGACCAGTCACAGACCCAGACATCCGCCGTCTCGCAAGAATCGATGCGGCATTTTTGCATAGTTTTCGGCCTCTCTGGGCCCTTCCCGGGCCTCGGTACCGTCAAAAAACGACTCGGAATGAAAAACCGGTGCAAGGGAAGTGGTCGGGAGGTCGAGGGGCCCGTGTCTTTGAAATAGGATGTTTGGGGAGCCCTCGCGGACGCGCCCACCTCTCCTCCCCCCCCCCCAGTCTCTCTCGAGCTGCGTCTAGCCGTGGCCACGAGGGACCCCGTGGGAGGCCTAAGAGTGCCATAGGCAAAGGTCATTCACAGATGGCACGTCCTAGACAGGGGCAGGGCCTCGCCTTCGATGATTCGGAGGGTCGGCATCTCGCCCTCGGCAGACGCCAGCGGAAGATCCACGGAAGCTGGTCGAAGTAGCACGAGGGCTGCTCTGGCGGCGGAAACGGGCGGAAGCCTGGCGGACCCCCTCGGAAGTAAGCGATGCTTCCCAGGAGGTGTCGACACTCTTGGGTTCAGGGCTTCCAGAGCGGGCCACATGTTGACTTCCTCCCTCATCTGGAGGAGCAGCGAAGCCTCCCGTGTGGCGGAGTTTCCTTCGGCGCGGTGGACGTCAAGTGCTTCAACGGCGCCGTCGTGGTCGTGGATCCCCAAAGGCGCTTTGCGGCTCGGCACGGCCCTACCCCCCTTCGCGCGCATCTTTCAGGGCGTGCTGGGCAAGAGAGGGAGGGAGGGAGAGAAAGAAAGAGAGGGGGAGAGAGAGAGAGAGAGAGAGAGAGAGAGAGAAAGAGGCAGGAACCCTTGCCTCCAGCCAGCTCTCGACGAGAGCTTCAGAACGACAGGTTGAGGTTCAGGAGCCAATGCGACAAAATCGTGGGACCTGCCCTCGAATGCGCAGTCTGGGAACAGGGGGCGGCGATTCGCGGTTCGCGGCGTGCCCAGTGGTCCTGACGGGCCAGCGGATGACCATTGTGTAGACTCCTGCGCAACATTATTGGCTCCGACATTGTCCCCGACTCCAGTGCACATTCCCACAGCGGCCCCGACTCCGACACCCGCAGTGGCCCCGACCCCGGCGCCCACGGACTTCGCTTTTTGCGAGCCTGGCGGCACGGCTCTCTTGAACGGTACCGAGGTCGAGGTCAGCTTGAGTATGGCGCTGGAGCACCAGGGGCAGCGCAGTGTTGCATGTCCCGCGGGCTTGATGGGCGCTGTGACCTTGCAGTGCTTGGATGGCAGCCTCGACGTCGTGCACCATGACTGCGCCAGCCGAGTGCTGAGGCCCACGGGCGTCCCGACCTCGGCGCCCACGCTGGCCCCGACCTCGGTGCCCGCGGAGACGCCGACCCCAGCGCCCACGGTAGCTCAGACTCGGGTGCCCACGGCAGCCCCGACTTTGGCGCCCACGGCCACCCCGATTGGTTGTGATTCTGCCGACGCGGGGGGACTGGATGCGCTCAGGGTCGTCGATTGTCCAGAAGGTCAAGTCGGCGCCTTGGTCATGAGCTGTTCCGCGGGGGGCCTTCTCAAGGTCGTAGACGGCGGCAACCGCTGCACGCCCGCTTGCACAGCTTCCACCTCAGCCCCGACTCCAGCCCCCCCGCGCGCCATCGGTTGTGCGCCGGGTGGCGCAGTCAACGTGGACGGTGCCTCTGTCAGCTTGGCCGTGGCGGTGGAGCACCATGGACAGCGCAGCGTCGCGTGCCCCGCGGGAATGCTGGGCGCTGCTATTCTGGAGTGCTGGGATGGCATCCTCGAGGTTGTACACCATGACTGCGTTGCCAATCCAGCGATGGCTCTGGAGACGACTCTTCAGCAGCCCATCGAATCGGGATCGGTAACAATCCAGCTGCCTACGGCAAATCCCGCCACCGCGCCAGCGCAGTATCGAAGTGCATGCAGGATGACTCTGCTGGTAGAACTGTCTCATTAGAACCATCTCGAAAAGGCTCGGCAGAACCGTCTCGGGGCCGTCTGTGACCGTGTCCTCGCGGGCCGGGCCTTTGGGTCGCGACCCCGCTGAAACTGTTTGTTTTGTTTGCTGATGCCCCGCGCGGGACGTGTCCGTGCGATCGCGTATCCGCGGGATCGCGCCCCAGAGTCCAGACCGCGAGGGCGCGGATACTGATCTGTGCGCCACTCGTGATGTGAGGTTTCGCTGCGATGCTGCAGCCTGGCCGCAGCCTTGCATGGCTGTTGCGTTGCCTCTTGAGAGCCCAGTGGGGGCCTGTCGGGGGCCTCGCGGGGGCTTCTTGGAAGGATTTTGGAGGGCCTCTCGAGGGCTTCTGGGGCACCTCGGGTCCGTCTTCGGCGAGGTGGTTCTTCCGAGCTCCCCCCCAAGGAGCTCGGAATATTTTCGGGGAAACGCAAGACTCGAGTTCGCCGGACCTCGGGTTAGCGGACGTTTACGGGCCCATCCTGGATTTGGGAGGACAGGCCATGGTCCAGTTTTCTTGGGATGTTTGCAGCTGGATCCCGCGTCAAGTTTCAGACTGGGCGTCGTAATTTTCCTGACGGCCCCGTCAGGCCAATCCAAGTCCCGGGGACCGCAGTCTTCATTACGTTTCCCCGACGTGACATTCATCTGAGGCCATGTGGACGTGTCCTTGGGCTGTATTGGAGCACTCTTGGAGCACTCTTGTGCCGTCTTTCACGCGGCCATCTTAGGCCGAGCAGCGTAGAAAGCATGCACATACGACGCCGTGTTGTTACGTGCTTTCGTTTTTGCCTCCGAGGGCCTTGCCGGAAGGATTCTTGGGCGCCGCTTGGAAGCTTCGTGGGATCTCTTGTGGGCGTCTTGAGGCCTCTGGGGTATCTTGGGGGTCTTCGGGCCGTCTCAGGCCGGTCTTGGGCCTCTTGCAGCCGTCTTTGGCCAGGAGGTCTCGGGCTGGTCATGTGGCCGTGTTGAGGCTGCGAAGAGTGCTAGACAGCCAAAAGTAGGGGGGGCATTTTCGCCTCGACCCGGCGGAAGGGGTTCCTGTTTAGTGTTCCCCTGGGGTTTCTGGGGGGGGACCCCAGTCGGAAGGCTGTTAAGCCGGCGGGAGACGGCGGCAAGACGGCCGCAAGACGTTCGCAGTCGGGCGTGACGGTGCACGGCCACAACTTGCAGTTGCGGCTTCAGGCGAGCTTGAGAGGCCCAGGAGGGCCCCCAAGAAATCCCAAGACGTCCCCCAGGCGGCCCAAGAGGCCCCTCAGACGCCCAAAGAGGGCTTCAAGAGGACCTCCAGGTGGCCAACATTTTTGATTATCCGTAGGTTGTTTGAGCGATTTTGACGTTCTCGCCTTTTCGGGCTTCCGACGCTCCAAGACGGGCCCATAATTAGGCCCTCAAGATCGCCCGAAGACTGCCCAAGAGGCCCCCAAAAGGCACGCAAGACGGCCCAATGGCGCCCCAAGACATGCCAAGAGGCCCCTAAGACGGCCCCAAGGCAGCTTCAGAGACCTCCGAAGACGACCCTAACGCGCCCAAGGAGGGACCGACGAATGCCCAGGGATGGCCCAAGACGGCCTCTAAAGGTCAAGAAGCTGTGTTGACGCCCCAAGAACGCCCCAAGGGGATTTCCAGGAGGGTCAAATCATCGATTCCCCATTTCCGAAGATGGGGTTCTTATTGCTGACTCCACGCCGACTCCCTCCACCTCTTCTCCCCCCCTCCTCCTGCACCTCTTTCTCGCGCAGCCCCATTCCGATTCACTCAGACTCACTCGGGCTCACCCATACTCACTCATGCTCAGACTCACTCTCATTCAGACTCACTCTTACTCACTCGTACCCAGACTCACTCACATTCAGACTTATTCACAATTAGATCCACTCGTGCTCAGCCTCACTCATACTCGGGTTCACTCATACTCAGACTCACTCACACTCAGGCTCAGACTCACTCACACTCAGGCTCACTCACACCACACCGAGACTCACTCACTCTCAGACTCACTCATATTCAGGCCAACTCACACTCATACTCTCTTCACACTCCGATCCACTCATGTTCAGAATCACTAGCACACAGAGATTGTGATTAGGTCTCAGGCGAGGCGCTGGTTTCAGCTTCAGCACTCCCAGGGGGGGGTGGGGTGGGGCGCCAGGGGGTATTGAACGGGCCCGTGCGCGCCCAACTTGTGGGGATCTCTCAGGCGGTTTGCCTATTTGGAGGTCCAACCTCTTGTGCTAGCAGAGCATTTTGTGAGGATGTCTCAGGCGAGGCGCTGGTTTCAGAACTCCAATGGGGGAGCTGCGGGGTACTGCACGGGTCCGTTCGCGCCCAGATTGTGGGAATGTCTCAGACGGTTTGCTTGTTTGGGTGCCCGACATTCTTTACTTTCAGAGCAGGTTGTGAGGAGTCTCAGGCGAGGCGATGGTTTCAGCACTCCAATGGGGGAGCCGCGGGGTATTGCACGGGTCCGTTCGCGCCCAGATTGTGGGGATGTCTCAGGTGGTTTGCTTGTTCAGGGGCGGCATTTGGACACCCAAGGTGGGAGCTGCCAGGTGTGGGGGCACTCTAGGGTTCGCGTCCAGATGGTGGGGGTGTCTCAGGCGGTTTGCCCGTTTTTGTCTCTCGATTATTGTTGTTTGTTGTCCACTGCTCACCGCGATATAGCAGGCGTGGCACTTGGGCACCCCATTACGTGTACGATCATGGACCCCTGGTGAACGCGAAATGTCCTGCTTTGACACTTGTAACCGCCGAAGGGAGGCCGCCGAAGACCTTGTCGGGCCGCCGTCCAGACTGCCGAATACAGCCGACAGACAGCCGAAAACCGCCGAACACAGCCGAAAGACCGCCGAAAGACCGCCGAAAGACCGCCGAAAACTGCCGAAAGACCGCTGACAACCGCCGAAGACTGTGTCGGGCCCCAACGCCCGCGGCGGGGCGCGCGCCCGCTGGCGGTTTTCGGCGGTCTTTCGGCGGTTTCCAGATGCTAATATGCGGGGGGGGGGGGCGCCAGGAGTGAGGACACTCCAGGATTCGTGCCCAGATTTGAGGGATATCTCAGGCGGTTTGCGTGTTTCTGCCCCCCAACGGATTTATTTATATGTGTTGTCCAATGCTCACCGTGATATAGCTGGCGTGGCATTTGGGGTGGGGACACTTCAGGATTCGCGCTCAGATTGGGGGAATGTCTCAGGCGGTTTGCCTGCTTCTGTACCCCCTCGACGTCTCTTTGCATTTGTGTGCTCCTCACTCACTCGCTCGCTCGCTCACCCACGCACTCACTCTCTCACTCACTCACTCAATCACCTCCTTCACCTTCTCCCCACTCGGACGCACTCATTCGCACACGTCCTTTCTCATCAGCACCTCTTGATCACACAGACTCGCTCATCACATTCCGACTCGCTCGTACTCAGGTTCGATCATATTCAGATTCACATATGCTCGCTCATACCCAGACTCGCTCAAAATCAGACCCACCCACACCCACACCAACTCACACTAATATTCACTCACACTCAGATTCACCAGCCCCCAGACTCTCTCATACTCAGACTACTTCGCACCCAGGCTCACTCATATTCAGATTTGTGTTCGCCACGCTCAAACTCAGACTTGCCCACACTCAGGTTCACTCACACTCAGACCCACTCGCGCTTCGACTCGCTGGCACTTAGATTCGTTCATACTCAGACCCGCTCGTACTCACTCTGACTGTATCCAGGCTCACGCACATCCAGGCTCGATCATACCTGGATCCACTCGCACTCAGATTCGTTCACGTTCAGATCACCCACGCTCAGATTCACTCGCACCAAGGCTCACACACACAAATGGCTACCGCGATAAAGCCAGCGTGGCACTTGGGCATCCCAAGTGCTAGTAGGCGCCGCTAGTAGCACGCCAAAGAGCGGGCGTAGCAACGCCATGCGCGCTTGCCTGAGTTGCTGCGGGGAGGACAGCACGAGGAACTCCTCCTCGCTTTTCCACCTGTTGTTCCCTCGTCTCTCCTGACTGATGTCCAGAGGAGGAGGAGGAAGAGGAGGATGAGGATGATGATGAGGAGGAGGAGGAGGAGCAGGAGGAGGAGTAGGAGGACGTCACTGAAGTCGTCTCTGTCGTCGTCGTCATTGCCGCGCCTGTTGTCTACGCGGCTTCGCTCTCACACCCAGATGCTCATAGACAAAGCTCCTCAGCGAAACGTGATAAGAGTTTGAGATGCATATATTGGGATCTCCGCGCCGAGTAATCTGCTGGAGGTTGTTTGAACGGTTTTAGCGTTCTCGCCTTTTTTCGGGTTTCCGACGCCCCAAGACGGGCCCATAGGTCCTCCAGATTGCCCCAAGATGGCCTAAGGGACCCCCAAGATGCCCGCAAGACGGCCCAATACTGCTTCAATGCAGCCCCAAAGGCACCCAACACGTCCCCAAGACGGCTCCAGAGATGTACCAGACTGCCCTGACGCGTTCAAAAAAGAACCCACGATTGCCCAGGGAGGGCCCAAGACGGCCTCTGATGGCCAAGAGGCTTTTCAAACGCCCCAAGAGGGCTGCAAGAGGAC